ATCTCTCTGACGCGTTGTAGTGTTCTGCTGAGACTGGCCAGACTCACCGACGATGCCAACGAAACGTCTGGAAATGTACCACGTCCACGATTCAACTTTGCATATGATCATACAGACAACGGACTCCGGACTAGGTGTGTTCTTTTAAGTCTTCCTACCAATATGACCAAGTTGCGAAAACGAGGTCAAACAACTTGTTCAATTGGTATGCTTTTCACATGAATTCATCAAGGACGAGAACAATTGGGGGAGTCGAGTTGGATGAGTATTCTGGTTTCGTTTATGCCAGATTGCCCACAGCACACGATCGACGTATGCATTTCAATCGAAAGCTTCTTCGTTCACACAACCATTCGATGTGACATGTGACGTAGTCTGGAAAATGGGACTTTTCTCTCCAGCCACATGTGACGTACCGGTTTTCGCTTCTAAGGCCCAAAACGAGACAAACTAGTTTCATTCGTCTACTTCAGCCTGGATGGGAAATGTAATGAAAACCTAAGATTTGCACGTGATTTTGTTAAAATTCAACTACCACTCATTTTCTCACCTTAAACCAAATAGATTAAATACACCTCGTTATTATGCACTACTGATAGTCTCGAATGCCTACTTATAAAGTAAAAATTAAATTAATATTTTCCTGAGATGGCACGCTAATAAACATGGCCATTGTCGACCTTTACCGTGAAGCAGCTCAAACAGCCTGCCGCCGGCTTCGTCATGCGTGACGCCGGCAAGGATCGGGATCTTCTCGAACCGCCCCTGATCTCGCTCCTCTTTCGGATGTCTGGGAAGGAAGCCCGAGGTTCCGTCTACAACGGGGGCCCAGATCAGCCCGGCGCTGCCGGATGGCTGTGAAATGCTTCACAAGATAACAACATGGCGTTGAATAGGGCATATCGAGAGTATATTTTAATAAGAATATAATAAAAAAGGGGTATTTTATAAAAAAAGTGGAACCTCTTTTGAGGCATGACAAGGCGAAAAGTGGTTAGGACAAAGATTAAATAAAAAAAGAAACTGAGTTTCGATGAATCCCATGAGATAGCATTGTTGGGGCACTACCATTTTGTATGAAAGTACATGAAGAAGAGATTCATAGGTCGATCTCACTGTGTGTTAACGTGAGACTTTTACGGGAATGAGACCCAGCTCTGATGATGTCCTTCGAATGATGAACGAAAGCTCAGTCCGTTTTCACCCGAAACGAGGGAGAAGGTCTCGTGGACTGCGTTAACCTGAACGTCATACAACGCTATTCATACTTCGTCTTCTGGTCAGATCAAACCACGAATCTCTTCTTCATGCACTTTCACACGAAGTTAAAGTTCCTACAACAAAGATTAAATAAACAATAAAACTGAAATAACTATGAATGTTAAGGTGGCCTTGTCTTATGAGTGTTGGAGTTATGAAACCAAAAAAGGAAAGAACAATAAAGCCATCGAGAGCGTCAAAAAATTAGGATCTAATTGTGAAAAAGGAAGACAGCGATAGGCCAAAGATTATAAGAAAGAACGGCTTAGATTATAAGTTCGCATTCAATCTAAAATTAATTTTAGTGGAAATCATTTATAATGTTGTAATATGAAATAAAAACACCTCATTTCACAGTTTGATATCATCGTAGATGACAAAATACGAGTTAATATAAAGAAATGCCATTGCAGCAAAAGTAAACATAATTTCTGTGAAGATATAAAGATCAAGATGTTGTGGTTGCTGTTTCCTTTCGATTTCCAGAAGTGGGTTGACCTCGTTGTCGCAACTTGGTCTTGTTGTCATGGAGACTATGTAGAACGCACCTAGTCTCATAGTAGTTGCCATAATTCCCAACATCAGACCATGACATTGGTACATTCTAAGACGTTTCGCCGGCATCATCAGTCAGTTTTGCCATTCTCCGCTCCAAGCAACTAACTCGTCAAAGAGACAAGTCAAGTCAATCGGTCGACAAACGTTCTGCCGAAAACGATGCGAAGAATGGCAAAACTGACAGATGATGCCAGCGAAATATTTGAGAAGGTACCAAGTCCACTGCCTGATGCTGGGAATCATAACAATTGCGATTGCAGACGACTTCGGACTAGGTGGGTTCTACTAAGTAACCCTGACAACAAGACCAAGTTGCGACAACGAGTTCAACCGACTAATATAATTGCCTGACCTGCATCCATAAATCACATCTCAGCATCTCCCATCACATCTCAGTTGATTTCAAACTCATCCCATGGCAAGTAAACGCAACATAGGCCATCCCAACTCATCTCATTTCTTCATATCTAATACCATCCATGTGATGTAATCTCATTAAATCTTCACTCAACTCATCATATCCCATTCACTTCATCTCATCCCATTAACTTCATGCAATCTCATGTCATTTCAACAGACCATTTCTCAGTGCATGTATTCCATTCTCATTACAGCTCTTCTTAACTCAGCCTATCCCATTACAGTTCATCACATCGCATTTATTTCATTTATTCTCATCTAATCTCAACACACCATTTCTCATTGCATGTATTCCTTTCTCATCACAGCTCTTCTCAACTCATCCTATCCTATTCCATTTCATCTCATCCCATTAACTTTATGTCATCTTATCTCATTTCAACACACTATTTCTCATCGCATGTATTCCATTCTTACTAAACCTCTTCTCAACTCATTCTATACTAATTCTGTTTTACCTCATCTAATCTCGAGTTATTTTATTTCAAATCATCTCTGCTTATCTAGGCTTGTCTCAACTGATCACGCTTAATCTCAGCTAATCTCATCTTATCCCACCAACCCCTACTTCTCTCAATTCATATTATCTCATCTCATCACTTTTACTATAATCTCATCATATCTCTTCTCATCTCTATCAAGTCATTTTATCATATTCAATTTCATATAATCTTTTTTCATAACATATCCTCCCATTTCGTCACATTCATGTAACCTTATCTAACCACAGCTACTCTCAAATCCTCCTCTCCCATTCAACTTAACTCAACTCACCTTGTTTAATCTAATCTAATATCATATCATCCCACTTAACTAATCTCATCTCATCACATCTCATTTCCTCTCTTCCCCTCTACTTCCATTTCAAACCACCTCATTTTATACCCTCTCTTCGTATCACATCATCTCTCTTGACATCTCATTCAATCTCCTCTAGATTCATCTCATCTAAAATTCTTCCCATAAAATCTCATCTCATTTCAACCCATTCCATCCTATCCCATCATATCTCATTTCATCGCGTTCTATCTCATCCTATCTCATTCCTGTACCAAGTCTTCAGCAATATTCCATTTTATTTTTCCAACTAAGTGTCCCTTTTAGACCTTTATTTCTGTTTATTCCTCCCTTAATTTATCCGCCCAATTGTCGCCTTGACCATTAAAATGGTTACTTGAACAATTTTGGCAAAAACCATCACAAACTAACTTTCCGCAGATTTTTCTTTCGACCTACTTCATAGATGCATTCAGCAACTGCTCGACGGAGACTTGGTAACGCAAACAATGCATCAAAGCGTATGTATTCACTTTATACTTCATCGGAGTCGCCTGTATTGGATTTAAGTTTGTCAGTACTCCAAAGTTCTCCACAGAACTAGCGTTGTTTGCGAACGCCAGACGAAGTTCTGGCTGTGGACCAATGGCAGATTTCTGAGTTTCGGCAACCTGGAATCACAAGAGATAGAGACAGGTCATTCTCTTTTCTAATTGCTTTTAGAATTAAGTAATATGAGATCTATTCAGCCAATCTCATACTACTGATTTACTGTTAGTCACGAAAACAATACTTTATTCGAAAATAAAGTATAGTAGTCAATTTTTATAGCAAACATTTGTTTGCCTTCATTCTATTTGACAATATTCTAAAATAGTGGTCAACTAGTCCTCCTTGATAATTATTCTTAACCAAAATTCTCCTTTGTCTTCTTAATTCCTAGTTCCGATGTTTAACATCTGCCAGACGCAAGCTCCTTATTATCATAGACTTCAAAACGCCGCTTTATCCCCACCATGAGTGTGGTTGGAGAATGAATTCAAAAGGAAACCTGCATTTGTGGGTTTCCTAATCACATCTTGACCTAACCTGGTCCCCTCTTTGCTAAACAGGACATCAATAAAAGGTGAACCACTTTTCTTTACTAACTCGATGTTGAATTTCGTCTTCCCATCAAATCTATGTAGGGATTTTTCGAAACCCGGTTTCGTTACATAACTTTGCTTCGTCAACAATCCCATTATAGAAATGTGACATGGGAAATTCCTATGATTCCTCGAAATGTACATCTGACCTGTGACCCAAGGGCATTCGTGGCAGTGTGGTCGAGTGGTTAGAATGTCAAGCTCCCATTCTGTACTGTCACAGTTCGACTCCCGTTGGGGGTGTTGATAAGACCGATGCGAGGTTGAAACTGCAGTTCACTCCAGCCGGGATTAGAACAACTTTTGGGAAAGCAGGGCTATGAGAAATTTAATGGAAACGTCAGCTCAACTCATATGATTGTGGAAAAATTCTTATTTTACCAGTCCTTCGTTACCTTAAACAAAATTGGGTAAATACATCTCCTACTACTGATTAACTGGTGGTCAAGAAAACAATACTTAATTCAAAAAATAAGATTAAGTAAATAAATCTTTCAATAGAAGGAAAATATGACTGAATCATAGCAACAAGTTTTATAACAATCAATATGACTACATCAGAAAATGGCAGGAATGCTGCTCAATCGCCATATCTGGACCTACGGAAATACATACATCTAAATGCACACATTAACAACAAACATTCTAAGCAAAATTCGAGTTAAAAGCCTGCTATAACTGGTAGAGTTTAACTATCTCCAGACACATTGTCTTAAAGGGCTACCAGGTCCGAAACGGATTTCAAAAAGTCTTTTAAGCAACGATTGCCATGAAGGCTTTCATTTCGTATGAAAGTGTATTTAAAAAAGAGTTGTAGGTTAATCTCACCAAAATACGATTTATTTAGGTTTTACCGCAGCTATTTGTCTTTACTACGACTTTCAGGTTGAGGCGTTCCACAAAACATCATCCAATGTTTCGGGCGAGAACAGGCCAATTTTTATTCGTAAATTCCACATGACGAACGTCATCAGAGCTGCGAATCATTCTTGCAAAGGCTTCAAATTAGCATCAAGTAAAGAAGACTGACTTGCTCTTCCTATATTATATATATATATATAT